TTCATAGTGAAGGTTAGTAGGAATACTTACGGATAGGACACAACGTGAAATCCAAGTATCTGAAGTTCCGAAATATGAAGCTTTCATTAAGCTGCGGTTCCCTCCCCAGCGGGGAGGTTAGTGCATGCGGCCCTTAGTGCATGCGGCCCTAAGGGGGTTATTCGATAAGCTGAACATGAGTGTCATATTGATTTGGTGCAGTAGCGCCAATTTTTCGGGTTAGGTGTGTATACGGTAGCTGGCTAAAAATTCCGAATTTTGCTCAAAACTTTGCCTAGAGGTGTTTCCAAGCGCGCTGATTGAGATACCGCATTTGTTTCGCACGATGGAGCCTTTTCTTGGATTTTTGGAATCCAAATTTGGCCGAATAGGGGGAAAAATTAAAATTGCTCCACTGTAGCAGCTCACTGTAACTCTAACAATAAGGCGTTGTTGCAGCGAACAAGCACCATATCTGCAATCAGCATGCTTTAGAACCCCTTCAGGCAAGGTTTGAGCTAATTCGGAAATTTTAGCCATCTACCATATACCTACCTAGCGAAAAATTGGCGCTACTGTACGAAAACAATATGACACTCATGTTCAGCTTATCAAACAACCCTCTTAGACGATGTTTCGGACCAATCCGTGAGAGCCCTTACCGTAATTTTAACGTAATCCCACCGGATGGCATTACCGTGCGAATTAGATGTGATATTCGTAATAGCGCGCAAAATAACCCCTTAGACGAAGTTTCAGCGAAGCCCACGATTTTCACTTTTTGGGTCAATTAATGTGGAGTACCGGTTACCGGTAGTACCGGTTTTTCAAAAACGCAGTCATGTTTGGGATGTTTTTCTCAATGGTACCTTGCCCCATTTGTAAATAACCGATGGCGAATGAATGGGAAAATTACAAGGGAAAAAACCAGGGAGCGGGTGTATTAGTGATCGAAAGATGTTCTCGCAGGATGATGTCATGCTGAATAAATTTCATGGGAGAATGCATAAACAATTCCGTCAAAAGCTTAGTAAAATTTTCTTTTCGTAAATTCGCATGTGCACGAGGCTTTGCGATATAAGTTTGGAGCGTTTTTCGATGGGATTTACGGCTGTGAGGTCATCAATCAGCAAAAACCACAGTTAGGTTAGCAAGATAGAAAGTAGTCCTTGCTTAATTTACCACCACTCCTTCGTTCCTTCATGCTAAAAAATCGCTCTTATTTGAATGTGTCGCTATTAGTGATTGTGCTCTCGACCATTCGCCTCGAAAGCATGCAAGCTTTTGGCGGGATTTAGTGTATACAGAAGTCATGTTATAAACATCAAATGTTACATCTGCCAGTGCATCCCATTTCAACGGTACACAAGCATTATGATCATGCGTCAGTAATATCATGACCGTTTTTTTTAGAGTTCAGCGCGATATCTGTCATATTTACACCGATTAATCGGATAAATTCAAAATTTCCTGCCATGGAAACAATCAGATCGATCCTCAGAGGATTGTTCTGGGTTTTGAATCTTCACTAGCAGAAGTAGATAGCAGACGAGCTGAAATCTTATATATAGAGCTGAATGTCTGTGTGTATGTATGCATCATTCATTCTGAGACTAGGAGACGCGAAACCGCATTGCACACATTGTCTAAACAAGCCTAATCGTGTACTTAGCAGGTTTATACTTATTATTTATCTCGTCCAGGTTTATTCACACTTTGGAAACGAACGTACAAACTCAAAGTTGTTAAGACAATGTCCGCAATACGGTCTCGCGTCTCCTAGTCATACAATAGATAATATGTCTGTATGTATGTTTCGATTTGGCACACATACGCTTCGGGATGGGGGGGGGGTGTCGTAGGCTGCTTTTTGTCATCGTTCAATATCGCTTTTTATTGATTTTCTTGCAAATTTTGATCTGGGCTAAGGCCACAGGGGGTAATCGAGTATGCTGATCACTACGTAATATATAACGAATTCGTTGTTTACCCATTAAGCCGCCCGATAGTTGGATCATGGCAAACGAGGGGCCGCAGACGTAAAGATTATGATGATGAAATACACTGATCTTTGGAATTGGATTGCTGCCAAGTGGCATGCGTTTTGGAACGCTGCCAAATTTCAAAAGAGTGACCAAGCATATTTTCGTAAAAGGGTCACACGGGTTTCGAAAGGCAATCATGAGTGTCGCAATAATTTTGAGACTGTGACGCCAGTGTCCGGGTGTGTTATTTGTACCAGCTTTTCAAAGAACTTGTTATCCCAGAATGTGTCTTTCAAATATGTTCTACTCCTATTAGTTGCTTTTGAAATGATGCCAAATTGCCTGAAAGCGTGACTTGAGCTAAATTCATCTATCTCAACTCTTCGTAAAAATGCTCTAACAACAGTCACTTTAGGATTATCTTGCTTCCGCGTGTAGACAAGACAGTGCGTGAATAACTTAGTCTCGCTGGTACTTTTGGAAAAGTCTATTTAACAACAGCCTTGCTTTTGCTTATGTAACTGAGTCCCGCTGGTTTCAACTGGGTATCGGTGTGTAAGCGGCACGTAGGGCAATTCCATCGGGCAGGGAACAGGTTTTTGTATGTTTGGGGCAGTTCTTATAATTCCTAAAGTCATCAAGCCACGTAAGGCATAAACTTTCTTTCTGAATAGTTACTATCGGTCTGTAAGCGGCACGTAGGGCAACCCGATCGGGCAGGGAAAGATTTTTGTACGTTTGGGGCAATTCTTGTAATTTTTTGACGGTCTTCAAGCGGCACGTAGGGCATAAAGTTTCTTTTTGAATAGTTACTCTCGGTCTGTAAGCGGCACGTAGGGCAACCCGATCGGGCAGGGAAACTGATTTTTGTATGTTTGGGCAGTCCTTATAATTCTTAAACGGTCTTCAAGCGTCACGTAGGGAATAAACCTTCATTTTAAATAGTTACTCTCGGTCTGTAAGCGGCACGTAGGGCAACCCGATCGGGCAGGGAAACAGATTTTTGTACGTTTGGGGCAATTCTTGTAATTTTTTGACGGTCTTCAAGCGGCACGTAGGGCATAAAGTTTCTTTTTGAATAGTTACTCTCGGTCTGTAAGCGGCACGTAGGGCAACCCGATCGGGCAGGGAAACTGATTTTTGTATGTTTGGGGCAGTTCTTATAACTCCTAAACGGTCTTCAAGCGGCACGTAAGGCATAAACTTTCTTTCTGAATAGTTACTATCGGTCTGTAAGCGGCACGTAGGGCAACCCGATCGGGCAGGGAAACAGATTTTTGTATGTTATGGCAGTTCTTGTAATTTTTTAACGGTCTTCGAGCGGCACGTAGGGCATGAACTGTCTTTCAGACAGATAATTGGTTTGTAAACGGCACGTAGGGCAATTTGATCGGACAGGGAAAGAAATTTTTTACACGTTTGTGCAGTTCTCATGATTGACGGTTTTTGGGTGGCTCCCTTTTGTAGTAAAGCTTCATATTTCTTTGGCGAAAAAATTGAAGGATTCTTTGACAAAGTTCTTAGACGACTGATTTCGCCGCTGTCGGAACTGATTCTGAGAGAAAAGTGTTTTTTGTAATACACATAATTCCTATGGTGTATTTCTACTTCCAAAACGATATGTTCTGCTACTTACTTAACGATCTTTTATGGAACTTGATGAGAAGAACTGAAAGAGCAAATTCTCTTTGAGAGGGTAGAAAAGTGGGAGGGGGGTTATCTGAATGTCTGTGTGAGGAGGGAATTTGCATAAAAAGCGTGTAAACGAGATAAAAATAATATCATGCATGGATCAGGAATTTCGAGAAATGAATGATTTGTGGAGATTATTGCTTCTTCGAGCAGTTCTCCTTTTGTAGAATGCTCTTCGCAAAAATGTTCTCAGCAACAGGAAATTTATTTAGAATTATTTTTAGTCAAACCTAAGCCCTATATGTATCTGCCCCGACCCATTTGTTAGCGACCCGTAGGGTCGCTAGTTTCTAAAACAGCGGGAATAGGGAATTGGCATATAGACGTGAGCAAAGGGAAAGGTTGTCCAGGGATACGGATGAGAGTTAAAAGGAAGCGTCCACCCAGAATTTGGCCCCCCATGTTTTCGTCATTATGGGGTAATTCACAAAAAAACCCCGATTCTTGGGGACCCTGTCTTGAGGGCGCGGACGAGTTTCGAATCATTCTTCCCCATCGGAGACCTGACCCATGCAGTTGCAGCTCCTCCCAGTGTGCAGTTCAGCTTCGTATTGACATGGTAGTGTGCAGCTTCTGCTCACTACCATGTCAATACGTGTCGGGAGGCAGTCCCTGGTGGGCGAAATCTGATATCAGACTCCGCCCAGCCAGGGACTTTCAGCCCCCTTATCTCCAATCAGAGGCGACGTTCGAAGGCCGGACCAACGCAGATGCCCCTTTTCTGGGGCCTACATTCAGGATCGACACTAATCGGAGGGGGTTAGGTTTAGCCTGGACACCGTCTTCTAGTGTTTTGACGGGGCCGGGCGAAGCCGGGTAAGCCAGCTAGTCAGAGATACTGGAAGGCGGGGCTTTGTGACCTAGACAACGCCGCTCGCGCCCGCAAAGCAGTCTGCGTCTCTCTCGCGCGCGTGCTCTGATCATTCTCTAACCTTAGGTCACGAAGCCCGCCTTTCAGCCGTCAGTTCAGTTGAATCAAAGGTACATTAGGAAATCGTATCATCGCGAATAACTGAAGCATTTCTTGTGGAAGGGTTCCGGGAGTGGCTTGTAGATCACTTTACACTGAAGATACTTCCTTTCTGTTATATACCTTTCGATAGAGTTGTGAATAAATTTCTTAGCGAAACCAATCGGAAAGATTATGGGCAGTTGTTTTTGAGCTTTTTTCGCACCTTTTTTGTGATTTAACTCAATAATGGCGACGGGAGTTGTTCTTTGATGATTTTGTTGATGAAGAATAATATTCGCAAGATAATTCTGAGGGGGATGCTTCGGCGTTAGGAATTTGAGGTTTGTGATTATACAAATATAGTTTTCTCCAATATTTGATTGATCTTATTGATGGGAAAGGCACTTAAAGCTGATGAGATTTCTGTTGCAATTTTTTCACAATTCTTGCAGTTTCTTTTTCCGTCTTATCGAAGTGTTTCAGACCTCAAAACTTGCCCTGAAAAAGACTACACTTCGACAAAGGCTGCTGGTTCATCCAATCTTCCGTCTAGCAGTTCGACTGTTCCTGCGGCTGCTAGCCCCTCCAGCCTTCCACCTAGTAGTTCGGCTGTACGCGCTGCTGGCAGCGCTCCAAGCGAACCAAAGGAGGAACCGGGTGCTGTAGTGCTGGCGCCTAAGAAGGAACCTGCCACGAGACAAGGGAAAGAAAGGGTAAGGTTGCAGCATGCGGTTTTATCATGAGTCAGAGTTGGTATTTTCAGGTTCATTTACTTACTAATTTCTGGGAACTAACTGTAAATAGCAAAATTGTCTATCGCTACGATGTGGCTGTATACTTGAACACACCTGCAAAAGATAGAGCTGTCGATCTCTTGAGGGGCCCCCGCGATGAGTGAGTTTTTTTTTGAGATTTTGATGCGAAAAACTGCGTTTATCTGAAGACATGGGAAGCTGTTACAGCTCTGAGAATACGAGAAGGCATCGTCTTTGCATGGAAGCTCTCCAATATGCGTTCCAATTCTACAGTATTGTCAGCCAGTATTCTGCCTTCGTTCATGATGGGGCTTCTATATTGTTTTCGTCTGAGGATCTTAGTGCCGCTCTGAAGGAGGTAGATGCATGTTTTTATCATTGGAAATTTTTCTAATCATTGGTCTTATCATTTATCATGCTTATTTTTTTAATCTTTAACTTTTTGCATTGAAAGACTATACAGCTATCTCATCTGGTTTCCCTCTCAGTCCTTCTTGAAGCGTCTTTTTTTTTGAACAATGCTAGGTTACGTGTTTTCTGTATGTGTCGATAACTTTGAAGGCGGCTCTAGCGGCTCCAATAGGAACCTCTTTGTGTTAGAATAACTTTAGTGCGTCTTTACATGTGTGAGTAGGGCACTGCACAAAAAAATAAAGGGGAGGTGAAGATTGGCGATGGATATCGCGTTCTGTAATTGTCCCAGCTCAATTTCTTACCATCCATGGAGAGCAGCAAGCACACTCAGCATTGGAATTTTGTAGTGTATAAACTAAGGTGCCTAGTTTTAGCATAGGGGGGTACTTGATTTGATGAAGAGCCAGCTGCCGGAAAGTACCAGAAATCTCATCTGTCGAATGGATGTGGATTCGATAACAATTGAGATCACACCTTGCCAGACGACAGCTGCATCGTTTGATCTGGCAGATTTTCGCGCGCAGGTAAGAGTGATTTGTGAGAAGACGTCAGAATATCATTGCTTTTTCTAGAGAAATCGGAACTGGGCCACATTAGATCGTTCTTGGAAGCAGTTCTACGAGCTTATCACTAATTACGATGCCGTGCTTAGGTTAGAAAGGATCTAGTTGGAAATTGTGAAGTTTATCAATTTCTTACAGCGGACGCTTCACGCAGTTTGGAGCTGGTTCGCTTTTTTGTAGTGCCCCGCTCAAGGAAAGAGTGGGTTTTGGCTTTGAAAGATTTGAAGGCGCACGGAAAGGAATCAAGTCAGTACCCTTCTCCTATCCCATGCATTCTTTCTATCTTGTCAATCTAGGTTCATCGAGGGGAAAAAGCGAGATGCAAATAGTGTGGTACCTGCATTGATACTTGACCGTTAGTAGTCTCCTATCCCTTTCTGCTTCTCCTCCTGCAATCTTCAGCTTGTTTCAGACCGCGTCGGAATGTTTTTCAAAGAGCAGAATCTTATGAAGAGTGTGCGCGAAATGCTCGGACCACGTGCCAGAGGCATGCAGAGATTTGATTTCTCTCGCAATAATAATAATCGCATGAACAAAACATGGGTAGAAGTCAACAATTATGTCAAAGGTAGGAGTTTTTTGATTTTATTTACTTGTTTTTGATGTAGGTCTAATTTATTTTTACTAAGAGATTCATGCACTTTTTGGCCTCTTGTAACAATTTGATTATTTTGAAACGCATAAGTCAGCAACGCGCCAGCGCTTGATAAATTTTGAATTGTTTTAAGGTCTGCGTGTAAATCTTATTGAAAATGCTACAAATCCGCTTAGTTTCGTAGCAGTAGGAATCAGCGATCAGCCAGTAGCAAATCTGGAAGATACATTGCCGGATAGGTAAGCTATGAGTAGATGATTTTTGAAATTCAGTCAACAAGTTTGCAGAAGAAGAAGCAAAATAAAGCTCGTGAAGAAATATGCGGATCATCATGTTACTCCCTATTGGCCGGCTGTGAAGTATCGTAGTCATGGTTGCGTACAGTATTTTCCTTTGGAAGTGTTGATCGTTGCGCCTCATCAGCGGGTTTTGCTGGAGAAGCAGCAAATTGCAAATTCAGTCAGTTACTTACTTCTTTCTATTAGGGAACGGCTATAGGTTGTCGATGTTGTCGGTGTTGTCGATGTTGTCGATGTTGTCGGTGTTGTCGGGGTTGTCGGGGTCAGAGACAGTTGAGAGAGCGCGCGAAACCTGGAGGCTATCATGAGGTCCTACAACGACCGGCAACCTCGGCAACCCCGAACACCGACAACACCGACAACATCGACAACACCGACAACATCGACAACACCGACAACCTATGGCCGTTCCCTTAGGTTGTCTCTAAAGTTTTGTCCGTTTTTTCAACCTATCATAAAAACGCGTGGAACGAAGATGGGGAAACGCTCTAAGCACTATCCGATGCACCTTTTCCTTCTCTTTCTAACTGTCATGCTTCCATGCCGATTAATCTTTTATTCACTGAGATAAACGCCGAAATTTCGAACCCATGGTTTTCACTATGTCCACGTTTGTCAATTTTTCACAATCTTTATTTTTGACTTTCGGAAAAGCTTTGGCAACAGTTAGATAGAAACAAAGGGCAATATAATGCAATTTTGCGGCAGCCTTGAAAATTTTTTAGAATTATTTTTCTGGTGCTATCAAATACCACGCTTGGTGATGCCAAAAGCCAGAGATCATGAAACGGTGCACAATTAAGGTGTTATTCGATGCAGCTTTTCCTCCTCTTTCCAGTGAGTGTATTTTCTCTCCAATTTGCGCGGTCAGTGACGATAAAATTTCCATAATTCTTGAATTTGACCCCACCGCAGCGTGTACACGTAAAATGCAAAATCTTATATTTCGAAGCGGTAAACGCTCATTTGCTTCGTAAAAATAGTGAATATTCGTATTTTTTCAAATTTTTAATTTTAATTTGAAATTTTAATTAAATTAAATTTGAATTAATAATTTAATTTTTCGTAATTTTACAAATCATCGGTTTTTGAAAGCTTCAAAATCCGATGATTTGTTAGTGTTTGAGTCGTTCCTGTGTTTTAGAACTTCGCAAAAGTGAAGGCTTTCGAAAAAATTATCTTTAAAAATTTTGAAAAGGCAGCTAGATATGCCAATCAATTGCATTGCATTGCCCTTTGCTTACTCTGTCTGAGGGCTATCAAAGTTCTTCCAAAAGTTGAAAATGAAGATTGTGAAAAATTGTCAAACTTGGACATAGTAAAAACCATGGGTTCGTAATTTCGGCGTTTATCTCAGTGAGCAAAAGAGTAATCTGCACAAGGTTATGACAGTTAGAAAGAGGAGGAAAAGATGCGTCGGATAGTGCTTAGAGCTTTTCCCTATCTTTGTTACACTTATTTTTATGACAGGTTGAAAAAACGGACAAAACTTTCGGGACAACCTAATATATGCAGAGAAAGAGCATTCATGTGTTGTTATAGGTCCCAAGTGCTGACAGGCCTAACGAACGTTACGAAAAAATCCATACTTTGCTTGAAGCACTGAATCTTCATAAATCTGGAAGCATGAATGAGTTCTTGAACGCGTAAGTTGATCTTTGTTCAAGCTCAACTCAATACGTGCTGATTTTTTTCAAGATTTGGCGTAAAAGTAGCTATGGCACCTAAGCAAGTTGACGGCATCAGACGTGCTGCTCCTGGAATTGTCTTTGGACGTCAATGTGAACCTGCTATCGATAAGTTCAAGGTTGGTGAAATCTGTTTATGGGTTATAAAATTGCACTATACTTTCAGTACAACTGGCGTCAAGATCGTAATACCCAGTATGTGAATAGCGCTAGCGTTGAACGCATAATCATTGTCCATAGCGACGACACATACCAAGAACCAAAGTATTTCTCATATTCTTTTGTATCATTATATTAATCTCACCTCAGTTGTTCAGGGAGTTGAGGGCCGCATTGGAGCCAATGTACAGAAGTCGTGGAATTAAATGTAATCGCTTCGAAGATGTCTATATCAAGAGAGGTAGGGACGAAGACATGGAAAAAGAGTTGGAAGAGATAAGTGCCCTTGCATTTTGCTATCAATATGCATGTATTATCGTATACGTATTCAGCTATTCAAAAAGAATAAGGGATCGAAATCACTTCTGATCATTTACATCGATAGGGCTGAAAGCAAATCACACGGTAGTCTTTGTTCACTATGTGTGGTGTTTTATCAACGATTGTTGCAGAGTTCTTGAAGTTGATGGAACGTAAACACCTGATTTCTACCCAACAGATAACCTCTGAAGTTGTCTCGAAAATTAGAAAGTGCGTTAAAATCATAAAACTTCTGTTTTCGATATTACTTGATTCTTCCAGACAGAGTCAGACATGTAGCAATTTCGTCTCAAAAACCAACCTTAAGTTGGGCGGGATCAACTATAATGTCATTCCTGAGGCTTTCGCGTGGGTTTTTCATTCTAACTCTAATCTGGAAGTTTGTCTTTTTTTTTTGTCAGATCTCAATATTATAGGGAGAATCGTTGGATTGCCCGTGGTACAACGCTGGTTGTAGGATATGATGTAGCTCATCCTGGAAAACCTTCGCGAGATGAAATCATGAATCGCATGCCCCCACAGAAGCCGAGCATTGTTGGAGTAAGTTGTGCTCTCTGAAGTTTCCAACACGTTGACGACCGTGTGCATACGCCCGTATGCACGCCCCGTCTTCCGTTTAGCATTTTCGCACGTACGTACTCATGCACGCCAATTTCTATACAGTATTAATACTGGTGACCTGATTGCCGTGTAAATTACAGGGCATCGCGCTAGTTATTCAGTAGTCTATACCGCAAATTTCGGTATTTAGTCATTTTTGATTAGGTAACTGTATGCTGATTATGGATTAGGGGACTATATGTCGCCGATAGGCTCCACCCCGCGCGGCAACTGGTATAAACCTCTAATGTCTGTGATGTGTGGAATTGCTGGTCTGTGGCAGATGTCCCATGTGACCACCCCTTCCGGTGACATATAGTCCTTTACCCCTAATTATGTTTTTTAAAGGACAAGATTCTATATAGCTACTCTGAAAGTGATCAAGGATCGAAATATCCAACATCATAATGCTTTTCTAGCCATTGAATGGTTTTGAAGGGGAAATCGATGCTAGGAAATTATACTTTTACTAATGCTAGGATCCTGTAACAGAAGTGTGATTCTGTAAAGAGACTTCGCGTTATTAACTTAACTTATTCATGTTTCATGAATAAGTTAAGACTCTCGCATGATAGTTTGCGCATACGCGCGTATGTATGCATGCGCCAAATGCGCGAGAAACAGTCAAAATGGCTCTACTGTCAACGTTTCAAACCAGAAATATCCAAAATTACCGCTCCGATACCGCTTTTAGGTTTCATTCAATGGAGCGGCACATCCCGAGTCTTTCATTGGAGATTATCATTTTCAAACTCCGCGTCAGGAAAGAGTGAGTTTCAAGTTTTGCTTGACGGTGACTGAGGAAATTTTTTTTCCACATTCAGGTCGATAGTGCTTTGTTGAATGCCAGATTCAAATGGATGCTTGACTTGTTTACGAAGAATCGAGGGGTTTGGCCTGAAAGGATTGTCATCACTCGCGATGGAGTATCTGAGGGACAGTATCGAATGGTGGGTAAAAATTGTATCTTTTGAACGGTCTGTGATTGAAGTGGTATATGATTGAAGGTGGTAGAGGATGAGCTGGGCGCTATAAAAGAAGCATGCGAGGAATTTGGGAACCTGCATGGTCGGGAGTCGTGGATCCCTCCGTTCACTGTGATTGTGGCGACAAAACGGCACCATGCGCGCTTTTTCAAGGAACACCATGGAGGTAATTCAGAAGCTTCTGAAATCACTACGTTATATTCGAAATATATCTCGGCTTACGCTTCGACTATCACAAAGTTCAGTTGTCGACAATCCTTTGCCTGCAACAGTAGTGGACACGGATGTCGTTAGAAATGACATAACCGAATTTTTCATGCAAAGTCACCGTCCTGTGCAGGTAGAATGTCCAAACACGTTTTCTGTTTTCTAACAGTTTATTTTGCAAACAGGGTACAGCAAAGCCTACATCTTACCAAATTATCGTCGACGAAAATGAAATGGGCAGTGATGAAGCACAGTCGTTAATGTTGGCCCTAACTTTTCACCATCAGGTACTTGACAGATGCGTACGTATATAACGTATATGTGCAATGACTAAATTTAGATAAGTGACGCACCTGTTTCTCTACCGGAGCCAGTGTATCAAGCGGATGAATGGGCCAAGAGAGGAAAAGATATCTGGAAAGCTTATACGTAAGTAAAATTTTTGCTGCAGTTTGAAAGATTGTGTCCTTGCCATCGAATTCAAAGCATGTTTTTCAGACTGAGTGATTCTCGGTAACTCTCTTTTTCCATTTTTCAGTCTTTGTTCTCCATTCTAGGTGTATCCATCCTTTAGGTGAACTGATTGACTTTTTCTCCACATCATTGTATTTGTGAAGGATAGATCTTGGATAAGTAGCGTTTTTAATCGAGGAATATGTTATACGCTGAGGCCCCGGCCAGACTTCGCTCAAAAGCGCCCGAAGCACAAAAGTCGCTCAAAAGGCCTAAAAGCGCCCAAATTTCTCTAAGCTCTCTTCACTTTCTCTGTCTCTCCTCACACGAGAAAGTGAAGAGAGATTAGGGAAATTTGGGCGATTATGGGCCCTTTTTGGGCGCTTTTGAGCGAAGTCTGGCCGGAGCTGACAAGGAAAGGAAGGTTAGTCGAAGTGGCTTTCTAATGGCTCTCTAATATGTAATGGTTCTGCCCTAAAGGGTTTGAGTGAGGCTGTTTCCGAATCTACCTTCCTTATCTGCTGCGAGTTTCTGGGCGAGGAGTTACGAAGATTTCTATGAGTAAAAACTGCATGTGCAGCTCGGATAAGGCTCGAACAGTGGCGGACCGAGAATGGGTTCGCGAAATTTTTGAAATTTACTTACATGAGTTATAAAAATGTGCTAATTGTTTTATAATTGAAATAATTTTAACAAAATTTTCAAAAATTTGATTTAGATTTATAAACAAATTTTTTTTGGGGACGTGGCGTCAGCCACGCCCCCTTTTTCCAGATTTTAGGGGTTGGGGACCTACAAAAATTTTGAAAAGCATCCCAAAATTTTTTCCGTCATTTGAGAAAAAATTGCCCCCCCCCCGGTCCGAAATCCTGGGACCGCCACTGGGCTCGAATGATGTTCGGGTTACTCTGTGCATTGAATATCCATAATTTGAACACATCACTTAACTGCCATTTCGAAACGCTAGGAAAAGTCAACGACTGATTTGATACTGATCATGGATTGAATATTTTGCTCATAAGACGCTTCAAAATTTTTGCCCAGAAACGTGCAACAGCTAGAAAGCTATATTCGAATCAGAGTTTCATATCCTTTAAGTCAGTATGCATCTCAAAGGCCACTTCGACTAACCTTCCGTAGTGAGAGGTCTAAGGATTTGCGAGCTTGAAATGTGAAAGAATTTAGAAACAACCAAGAAGCGGGAGATTAAACTACAGAAATGCATGGCACAATCTATAATAGCGCACGGTTAGGATCACACCGGTACGCACTCTGCGTAGGTCGCGGCATTGTCTTTTCGGCTTACTTTGAGCAGGCTGCGCGATGAATCATGGTTCGAACTTGACGACCATGACACCACCCTTAGGATGTGGGGGCAAAGCGGATGCCATCGCCTACTGCAAGCACATGCATCGTTTTAGTTTGTGCCCGTACTTTGCCGCCTTATGGCTAACCATGGGCGCAATCGGGTACAGCCGATCATTGCCGCCTCTTTTATTCTGTGATTTACTGATCTTCTTGCTCATGCGCTGCAGACCATGTGAGGAAATGGCAGAGCCCGACACGGAAGGTCTTGGGTTAAACTGGACTTGTTTTTGAAGTTAGAAGCAACAGGGATATCGTTTTGAAGGTTTTAGGAGGGGCCGTGATTAAAACTGACAAAAATATCAAGTTTCAAAAGGACGTGTTTGTTTTTTTTTGCAAGCGCGCGAATTTCAAACACAGACTTAAGCAAACAAATGGTTTGTTTACAGCGCACAAACAATCAAATAATACCGGATTTGGGCTGTCTGTGTACAATAATACTCCAAACTACATTATATGAAAATTTCTAAAACTTATGTCTCCTAATACTCGTTCCCAGTTTGTCAGTTTCTAGACCAACACCAAACCAACTGGATTGAATTGAAGCATAAATTTCAGAGAATTTACACAGGTTTCGCAACTTTTTGATTTGGAGATTAGAACGCTCAAAATTCTATCATTCTATTCACTCCTCTTTTTTGAGGCAAAAATAGTATAAACCTACGCATTAATTGATATCACGCTCCAATCACATGCGGTGTCCTTTGAAATATGTGGCAGTAGAAAACGAAAACTTCGGCCACTAATAAATCAGACAGAAAAATTACGAGGATCACGAACAAGTAGGCAAAGGACGTCTTGCTTGTATCAGCCAGCAACGTACCTTCCGGTCACAGTATAGGATTGTGTCTTTCGAGCTTGCATGGAGCTTCGGATTACTGGTATACTGGCTGAGCCCCAAGTAGAACCATGCAAGCAGCAGAACGTCTTGTATCAAATGCTGGGAAGACGAACTTATACTCATCCTGGTAATTGTGTATCACTCCGCTAGTAGCAGCAATTATAAAGCTTCAAAAAATGCGCAACAGATCATGCCAAGGGAGGATAACTGACTGCAATAGAGGTCAAATTACACAACGTCGTCAACTCCGCATAACTGTAGAATATTTACTTTCTTTAGCATTGCTTTCAGTTGAGTTGTTAAATTCGGGCTAAGAAAAGCGTTCCGAGGCCTAATTCACAAATCCTGGTTTTATAGTTTGGCAAGGCGGAAGGATATTCTGGATTGGGGAAGGCACCATAAAATACAATCTTTGTGAATGTTCTTTGGATTTTCTCGATCTTATCAATGTTCTTCTTCAATGTGGGATTCCATACAAAGCTGCAATATTCTACCACTGGCAAAACAAAAGTTTTAGATTCTCACTTGAAATTCGGGGTCACAAGACTGAACAGTGCGCATTAACGCATACAGTGTTCGAGTACTTCGAGATGAGGTTTCATCTGTGACTTGAATATTTCAACTTAGAATTCGTATAAACACCCAGATCTTTGATCAAAAATTTGCATTCAAGTTCAAAGTTATCCCTAGGATGAATCGTGTTCTGCCAATGGGGCTGTGCAGCTCTTGGCAACTTACCTTGATATTCCATCTACTAGCCCAAAGCATCATTCGAGAGATTGCGTTGCGGAGTGCTACATTAGCTCTATCCTTATCATACTGGTCATAAGCGATGTAAATTTGAATATCATCAGCGTACGCAGCCACTCTAATTCCCGGGTCTATGGTGAGAAAGTTTGGTAAGTCGACAGTACATATAACAAACTAGCTGGCTTACCCGGCTCCGCCGTATGTTCCGAATAGAAAATTCCCTTTCTCAACCGATCCGGACCAAATTTGGCACACATACCCTTCGCGCCCCGGCGGGTGTCACAGTCCACTTTTCGTTATTGATTGATGTCGATTTTATCGATTTTTGCAAAATTTGAGCTAGGGGGATGTAATTTGGCAGGAGGGTGTAATCGAGCATGCTGATCACCCCCACGGGGGTGATCAGCATGCTCGATTACCCCCCTGTGCCAAATCCCAGCCCCGTAGCTCAAACTTTGCAAAAAAATCGATAAAATCGATAAAAGTAATGCACGATTTTAAAACTAATATTGTATTCGGAATCCCCATGCTCACTTACCCCCTGTGCCAACTCCCAGCCCCGTAGCTCAAATTTTGCAAAAAATCGATAAAAACGATATCGATCGATACGAAAAGTAGCCTATGACACCCGCCGGGGCCCGAAGTGTATGTGTGCCAAGTTTGGTCCCGATCGGTTCAGAAATGGAATTTTCTATTCGGAACATACGTACAGACAGACAGACAGACAGACAGACAGACAGACAAACAGACATTCAGCTTTATATATAAGATAGAATTGGGGACAGGAACCTACCTTGTGGAACCCCTGATCAGTATGATCTTGCCGTGAAAATTTTGTCGATTCGAACAGAAAAAATTCTGTCTTGAAGATAAGATTCGCACCACCTAAGCTGTAAGTCTCTAACTCCCAAACTCTACAATTTGGCCAAAAGTAAATTATGATCTACTGTATTAAATGCTTTACTTAAGTCGAAATAGACTACATCTATTGATTGGTTTAAGCTTAACGCTGTCCAATCGATTGAACATCAAGAAGCTGTGTACCGGTAGATTGCACAAATTCATGCTGCTGCTCCGGGAGACATTGCGTTTTCCAACAATTTCATCAATTTTTTCAATGATCTTTTCAAGTATGTAGTTTGCACGGTGTAGGCAAAATGCTTATTGGTCTGTAATCAGAAAGTTTAGGGTAGAGGTCTTAGGCAGAGGGGTGACCACAGCGTTTCCAAAGATGAGAAACTTGCCATCATCAGGAAAACATTGGAAATGTGAGCTTAGGGGGAAGGCCAAGTCATTAGCGAACATCTTGTAAAAGATGGCTGGAACATCGTCGGATGTTAACGATACCGCTGGACATACTTTCCTCAAAAGTTTTCTTATCATAAGGGGATCAATTTTCAATGGGGACAAGATTCCAAAGATCTGCTTTCTAGTACCGGAGGTGAGGCAACAGGATCTCAGAAAACGCATGAGAACTGATCCGCAAGAACTTTAGCTTTAGAAATGGAGGTATGGTAGATATTACCGTCACTGTCCTGTAGAGGACCGGTAAACTTGTTTTCGTTCAAATGTTTTTTGAGATATGCCCAAAAGTTCCGTCCACAACCTCTACTAGCTATTCTTTTTTTCTGTCTTAAAAAGTGTCTCAGCTGATTCGAAAACTCTTTAGAAACAGTTTCATATTCAGTGTCGCTCAAGGGATTCCGGAGATCAAAGAATAATCCCATCCTTTTGAGAAATAGAGTCTTTATATGCTGGGGGTATCGTAAAAAAGGAGGATATCTTCGTTTGAAGAAGCAGGTGGCAATATGGCAGGTGTAAGACATCTGTTTGCTATTTAGCGCTCTTGGCACCTGTACTTTCAAGTATACAGATCTTATCTTATATATAAAGCTGAATGTCTGTTTGTCTGTCTGTCTGTCTGTGCGTATGTTCCGAATAGAAAATTCTATTTCTGAAGCGATCCAGACCAAACTTGGCACACATACACTTCGGGCCCCGGGGGTGTCATAGGCTACTTTTCGTCATCGATCGATATCGATTTTATCGATTTTTTGCAAAATTTGAGCTACGAGGCTGGGAGTTGGCACAGGGGGGTAATCGAGCATGCTGATTACGAATATAATAATGGCAGGGCCGGGCGGAGCCGGGTAAGTCAACTAGTCTGTTATGTTGTAAAGCATTCCTCCATCTCATTGCCCGCAACTTCTTTATTCTCGTTTGCTTCTTTATCCTTTCGTAAGTTTCTGTTCATAATTTCGCATGTTTAGTGATCGTCATAATGTGCTGAAATTGGATTCAAAAGGCGAGTACGCGGATTTCCCTATTGACTTTGAAGCCATGACGAAACTTTTGGCTTACTGGAACACGAATCTGCAGTGTTATCGGGTGAATGCTTAACTCTTGATGAGCTTTGATGATATGATATTTGCCTTAATAATCACGTGTATCTATATGTATTGATATATATCAAACTGTTGTTAATGTTTTCTCCTCGCTCGTGGCTAATATCTTACTAAAAAGACTTTCACCATCGCCTTTTCTGCAATACTGTGCTTGCTTTCCTCGTTGTTGCTCGGTTCTGCATGCATCTCAATACTTTTTTTCGCTGTAAAAGTTTCTTCGCTTACAAATAGCAGTAGAAGTTTGCATATCGAACACAGTCCTCATGTAAACTGCATGAATAAAGTAGATTAGCTTCAAATAATCTGCCCGGTATGCACAAGGGGTCATGTTGGCTTCGAGCATTTTTTAAAACAAACTTCCTCACGACTACACAATTACGAAGTCCCTCTTGAAGTATCAGAGTATGGCATGGCTAAAAATTGAAAACAAGGATATCATCTTCCAGAACTCGTTCAATGACAGGGGAAGCAGTGGTCCTAACTCTTCCTGCGACAGCGAGTCGTACGCAGGAAAGAGGGATGAATAAAGCCTTACTTACTCCTAGCAACTCTAAACACTCTTCAGTCGTGAATGGGAAACGGATATTTATCAAAGCTTTCTGATTCAATTTGTTTATGGCTAGAGAAAGGAACGAAGACGTTGGTTTGGTTCTTTTTTTCTCCGCGGTAGATTTTTAGGTATTCGAATAGTTTAAGTCAAAAGTCCAGAACTTAGGTGAACTCTTTAATATTTATGTTTTGAACCAGCACACTTCGCTTGGTGATGGTCGGCATCACTTCCTAGGACACCGATGAGAACCCATAAGTTTCCGAAAGTTAGAACAGAATATAGTCCAAAATTAAATCATCTGTTTATCTTAATCTTATTGATTGGATGCGCGCTGGTGAGAATATAGCTCATTTTTAAAATCGTGACAACGGATTTTACTGCGGACTTTGCGCCCACAGAAGCACAAAACGCTCATACAAGAAGGCGTCACCTCAACGTCCAGCTCAGCACTTCCAGTGTCCAAATATTATCATATGTAAGCATAAAAAAACCATTCGACTAAGGGTGTAAACCAAGGAAATGCGATTTCCGGAGGTGGTGTGCGTGTCGCGCGCGGTCTCGCATTGTCACTATTTTTCAAATGCCCTGTACGTCGGAGCGTGTCTATGTACAACGTGATATTGAAGCAGGTGAGCCATGTGTGTAGGTGAGATGCATTACGTTCCAAAAGTGATTTCTGTTCAGAATAAAACAAGTTGTTTTGCGATAGAGCGAGGCAAGCTACAAAATGACCATTAAAAACCTGTCTAAGTTGTTCAGGTGAAGTTTGGAGCCAAAATCGGAAAAAGATTCATCACCTAAAATTAGAACTCTGCGATAAAAAATTCTACGGACCTTGAACTTGGTCGTTATACAGTGGACACATAGTATTACTCAAATATGCCGCTAATAAAATTTTTCGTCCTTAGAAAGCGAGAAAAAATAGTTTATTTCTACGTCTATTTGTGCTTTGGTAATCGAGAAATGCATGTTTAACACAAAAAGTTTGAAAAAGTGACATTTTTGAATTTTCGTGCCATTTGAAATCCTCAGTTTTCATCCCCGGAAAAAATCCACCAAATATATTTTCTGATGTCGTTTTTGTGGCCAAAAATTGCGACGTTCTTTTTAGTCGATGTTTCGGTTTTCGATGGTTTCTTACGTTTAGGGCTGAGAGTCAAAGGGGACCTCGTAAAATTTCGCAAAAGTCAAGGGGGACTTCGTTTCCAAAAAGCCTAGAAACGAACTTATGCCGGGCCCTGTCGATTGCACGATAAGGGTTACATCTACAAAACTACGTTATGTGCACAAATGGGGAGTTACGGGATTGCTCACAAAGTGGTGCGGTTTAACATTTGTAATCAAACATGTCCAGCCGTTCACATCTGCAAAACCTGCCGACACTTCTCGTGCGTGTAAATTAACATCTGGCCAGCAGAAGAAGACAAAGACTTGTGGGCCCGCTAAGGAAACATAGAAAGGAGGACCATGATGAAGATTTTGAGACAGTCGTAGCTTGGTACAATAACCTAAGAGTAGTAATCTGACATGGAGATGGCGTTCGATGGCTTAAAGGCACCGTCCACCTTAAGTTGGAGGTCTTGAGCTTTTGGCAGCATATGATAGTGGGGCCCCCTATCAAGCCAATGCCCAAGTCCCGGCGCAAAATGTCGCTTCGGAAGCGAAAAAATCGCTCCAGAATAACGAAGATGCACGAGGACGCGACGGCACCGCCCTCGCCATCCATGTCCGCCCATCCGTACGCGCCCAGCCAATCACCGTTCCGGAAAGCCGGCCTGCGGGTTCTCCGGAAGCAAGGGTTGCTGGGGTTTTCGCGGATTCTCGACTTCATATTCGCAGTCAGGGACATGAGAAGGCCGCGGAATTATCAAAACATGGAAGTCAGGAATCTGGGTGGACGGTGCCTTTGAAGGCAGTGTCCGGGCAAAAACTCGATTTTGAGATTTTGTGCTTATACGGGCCTATTCGCCATGCTGAATCCGACATCCACATTGGAAAGCGCGAAAACGGCGAAAAAGGGTTCTAATACTGGAGGGAAATCAGCAAGTGGCCGGGGTCTTCCCCACGGTGAAATCACGCTCCCAGCTTAGGGGGCGACTTTTTGATTCCGGTTTCAAGTCATTCTTTGCACTTGATCGGTAGTGTTGTCAGGGCGGCTAACGGATTTGAGGAAATTGCTCTGAAAGCTGGAAGAGTATATTCACAGTGGGGAAGACCCCGCCCACTTGCTGATTTCCCTCCAGTGTTAGAGCCGTTTTTCGCCGTTTTCGCGCTCTCCAATGTGGATTTTCGGATTCAGCATAGCGAATAGGCCCGGGTGAGCACAAAATCTCAAAATCGAGTTCTTGCCCGGACACTGCCTTTAAGTGGAACGGTGAGCTCCGTGGATGACACTCGGCAGCTTGGTAATGGACAAAATCCTCTTGTGCTTTCAATGACGGACTATAAACCATATTTTGGCATGTGCGGCATCCTCAAATCTATAAAACCTGTTCTTATTCTCATCATATTCTGATTTTATGATAAAAAGGATCTACAGTGCTTTTGCAGGCACGCGCCGAAGGCATTCTACTTCATAAAGGAAGAGGCTACTGAATGCTTGCAGGCCTTTTACATCGACTTGTAAGGGCCAGCCGATATCCACTCAGTGCTTTTATCCTCCCGAAACTTGTGGTACAATTTACCGTCGGAGGTAGAGAGCTTGGAGGAGTTGGCCCAGGAGCTAGATCGGAGTTTGTCGACCTGGTCATAGCGGCGCTTCAAACCGCTGCGCCACTCGTATTCCCATTCTGCTTTTATCTGTCTTATGTCCTATTCTTTTAACATAGCTATCTCATTTCCTACGCATTTAAACTTACGTCTGCGTTACAGTCGAGGCGTTCCAACTCGAAAAGCATTGGGCTCCCGCCAGATGCCGAAACCACGTTAGCGCTGCGCTGGCGCCGAGCCAGCGTCAAGCTGTTCCGGCGCTGTTTCGATTACACGTGCATTTCGATCGGGGCGGGGCTAGCTGACCTAGTTCTCAGCCAGGTAAATGCACCGACTATTGATCGAAATCTTTGTCAAAAGATTTGTCTTGTGTCTTTGCTTTGCGATAGCGCTTTGCCGGCACACGGTAAGCTAGCCCCGCCCCGAACGGAATGCGCATATATCGGTCAAAACGGCGCCGGGACAGCTCGGCGCAGCGCGTGTGGCTGGTGTGGCTTCCGCACTCTGGCGAGAGCCTTAGGCACACCTTCTTGCTTGTAATCCGAAAATGAATAGCAAATATGAACAGCTGTCCGTCATAGCTTGTCCCAAACCGTTCCTATTATTTTGCGATTTCTGGAAGGCCTACAGTTACTTGAACAGCCCAAGCCAAATGGACTGTTCATTGTCACCTTAGGGACGACCGAGGGGCTTCTAGGTGCTGTACTGTGGAACTATTGACAAGTCAAGTCGGCTTGAAAATGCCGCATCCCGATCACAATTGACGAATCGAATGCAAACAAGGCGTTTGATGACATATACGTTTGATGGAAGTTGAAAGCTTAATGAAAAGTTCCGATACAAATCTGTTGTGACATGAAAAAAGCTAAACAGTAATATATCATCATGCCAGGATCTAGAGGAAAAAGAACCTATGGAAAGGCACCAATTTTGTAAAAGCGAAAGTATTCGTGCCATGGCGTATCCAGGATTTCCGTTCGAGGGAGGAGGGAGGGGGGGGGGGAGCGGGAAAGAAACTTTTTTCTGATAAAGGCGTGGCGTCACTCCGAAAATTTTTTTATGCTTCCGATTTTCACGGATCCCCCCCCCCCCTCCTCCTCCAGAAGAAATTTCTATGAGGCTAGATTAAATTTTGAAATTTATTCTAACTATTTACAAGTATAAAGTCACTTGCAAATTTTTGTAAGTCTTACAAGTTAGTTTCAAAAATCCCCCCCCCCCCCCTCGTCAGTACTTCACTGCTATCATGGTATAATGATAAGGTCTGAACGAAGGCGGGCTTGCCATTCAGTAAAAGCTATTGCATGACGGCGAAGAAGCGGTATCAATTGAGCGGGCGCGAACGCGATGCGCGCTTATCCTCACCATTGCAAATCCCGCATCTTATGCGCTCTGCGGCTAATGAAGCCGCGTTCGCGCCCGAAGATACTGCGCCTTCGTCATGCGGCAGCCTATACATATTTGGCGGCAAAAGGATATTCAAAAGATGCATAAGCATCATTGTATAACCGTCTTTGATGTGTGCTGGAAGCCGAATCCTTTCTGAAATCCAAAAATCAACACACAAGCCCAGAATTAGTGGGACCGCTGTTTCCAAACTATCCTTACGGGAAGACTCTTACCGAATGAGGAAGTCTTTCCTCACATCGGTCTTCTCTGGGAGGGCGTCGATTGGTCACATTGCGCATAATCGCATTCGCGTAGCGCGAGTTCATGCTGATTCAAAAACGTTTGGTTACATCGTGCATGCGAAAAACGGTAAAAATAT